GTTGATCATAAGACATAAGTATATGATCCATCCTTTTTTCAAGACCTTTCTTCCTCTTCTATCCTCTTTTCCCTCAGGGTTCTTAATTCAACTGAAGAGGTGCATATTGTGTTTGTTGAACATACAATTGTCTTTGTATGCACTGCTATTGATGAGGGATTGGCTGATGCCTGACCACCCTAGGTTGTTAAGCTGAAATTGTAGCATATGCTTGAGGAACATAACGATTAGGACGAACAACTGATGCGTGACGGTGCGAAGCTTGATCTTGATGATTGATCGGGGCCTTCCCTTTGTAACTATTATCACTTGTCTCTCATTATTTCATCTTGAGAAGGCCAAATCAATGTCTCTTGTTACTTCCACTTATAACGTTAAATGCCCCCTAAAATTTTCCTGACTTGAGGCCATCTTCAATATGTTCCCCAATGGTAACCAAGTCAGAAAAGGAAGTGGAAATACTACCAATTATGTGTTGGAGGTATGGGTCTTGCAAGGCGCCCATGAAAAAATCATGCAATTCACGATCCAAGAGAGGAGGTTGAACCCTTGCAGCTAATCCATGCCACCTCTGGGTGTAGTCTTTGAAGGACTCTTCTGATTTTTTTGCCATACCCTGAAGTTGTGCACTACTAGGAGCCATAACAGTGTCATGGTGATAGTGTTTCCTGAAAGCATCAGCAAGCTCTCCCCAAGTATTGACATGAGTTCTCTATAACTGCATCTACCATTCTAACGGTGCCCGAGTCAGGCTGTCTTGAAAGAAGTGCATGAGCAATGGTTCATTATTAGAATGAGCTCCCATCTTGCTACAATAGTGAAGAAGATGAGCTTCTGGATAATTAGTGCCTTTGTACTTATAAAAATCAAGAATCTTGAGCTATGAGGGGATAACAATCTCAGGTACTAGGCAAATGGTAGTGGCATTGAAACCAGAAGTCTTTAGAAGTTTCCATGGAATCAAGACGCTCCTTAATAAAATGATGCATTTTAGTAGTTTCAGCAAGATCAACAGTGGGATCACCTGGAGATCCATTAAGATCAATAACATTGTCATAGTTGTCAACCACCTTCTTCCGAAACACCAAATTATCAGGAGTGGTCCCAATAATAGCAGCTTTGGGAATTCCATTTAGAGGATTAGGAAACCCATCAGAAGTGGAAGATAAAGCCTCTGCAATCTTGGCAACACTCTGACGAAGCTCTTCTTAACCTTTAACAACAGATTGAAGAGTCTCAAAAAGTTGATCCATTTTGTAACTCATAATGTCCATGTCCCGACATAGAGCATTCTGATTCTTCTCAAAGAGATCCATAAGTCTTCGTTGATTGTCGCAAGTGCAGTATGGATGTAGAGAAGTCGTTAGTGTTGATTCTGATAATAAGAAGCAAAATCAACAGATAATAATTCCAGCCAGAAAACCCGCAATTCATGAAATGCATGATATGTATGATGCATGAAATGACTATCCATTATGGGTTTTCACAGCTCAATCAACGTCAGTAATAATCGAGCAACATGATAATAAGAACGACCATATATAAAGAAAATATCCAACATTGCTCATGTAATAACAGAAACAGGAGAAATCCCAATGAAGTTCAATACAAGAAAGTTGCGAAAGTACAAGATAAGTGATTCCTCCCAACAAGACTGGTGTTAATCGGAACAATAAGATAGGAAATGCAATAATCAATCTCCTTGCTCTAAAGAATGCAACATATTATGCCCCAAGTGTTCAACACTCCAGGCAATAGTCCCTTTCACAAGTTGCTTTAGCTTCTCCGCATCGGGCTTCAAAACCAGACTTTGAATCACCTCATCCCTCTTGACCATCATGATCTCCAAACTACGGAATCGTGTCAACAAACCATCATACTCTTCATTTGGGACTGATGTTTTCTCCCCATTATTTCTTTCGACCTGCTTTTTGAGATTTTCAATCTCCTTGTTGGATCGTGCCATAGACTGCATCAGCTAACAACGCATTGAACACGCACCAAGTACCGTTTCTAGCCATTTCTTCTACTTTACTGACCAAGAAGTACAAGGGTAGGCTACTATTCTTTCTCCACTTTTGTTTCACATCACTAAGGCCCAAATAAAGTGCCTTAGCAACAACTTTAAAATCGAGCTCGTTTGGAACAACATTAAATGGCATGTGCTTGGTGACTTTAATATCAAGCAAACGAGATCACTCTTTCAAAGTCGGAGCAATATGATAGTATTGAAAGGTGAAGCAGTGTAACTCATAGTCGTAAAACTGAAGTAGAGTCCAGAGAGCTCCATTATCAACCCGAACATCTATCAAAGTCAAAATGCCACCATATCTTTCACGGGAAGCTCCTACATTAGGATGGACTTAACAATATTTCAAACTCTTCAAAGAAGGCTAAGAACTTGGGAGAAACTGATAAGTAAAATTGTCTCTTCTGGTCCTCTTGGGAACATCACTGTTGCTAGACGTTACTGACGGGAACTATAACTTCTTGAGATACCCTATAATGGACACGCACATGCAAGATTAGTATTTAGTTTCATTTTTCTAACATTTATTTTAAAAAGTAAACATGCTATGATGCAAGTCCAAGTGATAATGGGATTACTACTTCCATGATACTGATTTCTACTCTACTGTCTCTGCATGGCCTGCTAGTACCAGGATCACATGTTCGAAACATAACCGAAAGAACCCTATAAACATCATATTCAGAACTCATAAAATAAATCTGAGGACAACATAGTCACCGACAGAACAAGTCGCCAACAGAACATGTCACCAACAAAACAAGTCACCAACGATACCTGTAAAGAATATCCCCTCCCCACTCATGGGTAAATACTAGGCCAAGGTAAGCCAGTGGTAACTCAAAATCACGTGTTCTCTTGAGAGTACTATCGTTATACACCTACGTGATAATGATAGCACCTCATTAAAACCTCATCTAAGCATGTACGACACAACCGTCTAGGGTAATCTACATCCCCTATCCATCGTGTTCCACTTTATTCCTAGTGTTCATATTGTTTGTCACTTGACCTGGGTATTGGGTCTTTTACCTCGTAGTAACACCCACCCAATCATGAAAACAGAGCCAGCACAACAACAAAATATGGAAAGCGATAAAATGCAATACAAACATATGCTCAGATAATCATGTACAAATGAATAAGCCATAAATCATATAAATAAACACCCAAATAAAAGACAACAAGAGCTAGGAGCGACTTCGGGATGGACCAGCAATTGGTCGTTCTGACCCTAGTGAAGTCGCCAGCTGAAGCAACCGGTTGGAAATCATCAAACAATGAATTCTCCATCAAATGTATTTTATCCCAACGAAAAGGAAAGGTGAAAATCTAGAAAACCTGAGAAGGGATAAGTCACGGTCTTGTGACCGATTTATCGATAAGGGAGTCTGTTACGCGAGGGGAAGGTATTAACACCTAAACGCCCATAGTACTCTATGGTATTCACTCTTGTTATCTATCTTATGGGTGTGTCTAATCTATGTCTACTAATTACTACCGAGGAAGAATGCATGCAAAAGAAATGCGGGGAAAAGAAGGAAGTATTTACGAGTTTTTCTCTGTTAGGCCCCACGACATGTTGCCTACGTATCCCTTTCGAGGAATCAGAGTGTCGTAGTTCGGCTCACATGTTTATGTTTGTTTTGTGTTTTTTATGGGGGATGATCCCTTGTGAAAACGGTTTTGAGTTATGCCCTCAAGGAAAGATGCCACATTTGATTGGTTTGTGTTTTGTTACCTTGAAAAGAGTTTAAGTACGATTAAGACGTTTTATGATTTTCCAAAGAAAAAGAAAGTTTTAGTTTTAAATGAAAATGAAAAAAGGGAAGGAAAATTATAAAGGGGAAGTGTCTACCTACGTTAGCATTGCAAAAGACCTAAGCGTGAGGATAACTATCTTATAAGGAACATGCAAAGGGATTGAAGCTGTTATCTCAAATCTAATTGAGTGACATCATTGATCATTAACAAAGGAAAATGATAAAGCCATAAGGGAGCATGCAAATATCGAAGTTGTTATCTCAATTCTAATTGAGTGACATCATCGATCGTCAACAAAGAAAGTAATAAAATCCTATGGGGATATCTAGAAAGCGGTAAAGAAATGCGATAAAGTGCAGGAAAGTGTAAAAGCAGTAGTGGCGACTACCAAAAGCAAGCGGATCGTTGAAAGCGGATAAAATCAATGGAGAAGCAGTGAGTACGCGTCGAGCAAGCTTCACCAAGAAACAAATAAAGTTAGAAATGATATCCAACTAAGATAAAAACACACGCGTGTTGCGAATGCAACACATAATCAGAAATCTTTGCACAAAGTACCATAAAATATCACATGCATCCGAATAACATATAATATGATATGAATTTCTCATGACAATGAGAAATAAGGCATGTCGCATCGGAAGTGAGCATAAGCCATATGTTTCGATAATATAACAATTGTTATGTTACATGATCGAAAACACCAAAACGTACCTTGCACAATGAACAAACGCGTCGAAAATAACAAGACAAAATGGTGTAAAATATGAATAAAAAAACTAAAAGAAAAAAGTATTTTTATTAGTTATTTATGTGAGGAAAATTCTATGAAAAACTAAAGAGTTATTTCGTGAAATCAACTAAGAAAATCTAACAAGTTTCATTGATTTCATAATTTTTATCATAAAAAGATATAGAAAAAATTAAGGAAAAGTCCTAAATCTAATAAGGAAAAAGAAGAATCAGAGGGTGTGCTGCCTAGATCCAGTGTATGTTCAGAAATTGGCACCAAGGTCCAGTAGAGTTTTTTGTTTTCAAAGTCATTAGCTACCCTAACAAGACAAGTTAACGGGCCTAAAAGAGTGAGGTCGGCATACTCTTCACCAAATTTTTATTAATTCAATTGTTAAACAAAATAATAAAATAAAATAAAATAAAATTGATAGAATGAAATGATGAAAATGAAACGCAACGTTTGGTCCCTTGTATGACTCTTCAGCTTCCACAAACTCAAATCGAGCCTAATCTCTTCCTTCTCATCCTTTTCGAACCACAGACGTTAGGCGCCACCGTGCCATCGTCTCCGGCAGCGGAACAAGGAAACAATACCACCAATTCCTCCATAATATCCCCCTCTCTCCAAGTCCCTTACCAATTTCACATGAAACCTCTTCAATCGTGCGGATCGAAGAATCGAAGGGAGAAATCCCTAAGTCCCAGAAAATGATAATTCAAGCGAGTGATAAATCGAAAAGGAGCAAGCACTGAAAGTATTAATGGAAACCTGTTTGAAGCTTAGCAATTTTGATACGGTGGAGACGAACTACGACGTGTATTCAGGGGTAATTCCCTCAACTCCCTGGTTTCTTTATCTTCTCCTAACTTTCGACTCTGAGACTTCTTCTTCTGATTTTTCGTTTTCTAATCTGTAACTTAGGTTGTGCTATTGAAGTTGTTGCGGTGTTGTTGTTACATGTTAGTTGTTGAAATGATTATTGATAATAAGGTGATGATGATACCACTGTTTTTGAGAGACGAAGATTGCAGTGTTGATGTGAAGATGATGAGATGTTGCTTTGAGATGTGAAATCTAAAAGCAGAGAGCTTGTTAAGTTGTAGTGGTGGCTGTGTTGATGAAGATTGATGCTGATAGAGGTCGAAGAAGATGGAGAATCAAGTGAAGAATGCGCTCTTGAGGATTTCTTTTGGTGAGTTTTTTTCCAGAAAATTGGAGAGTGATGCAATCTCAGGTAAAATCTGAATTTATATTCTGTTAGAGCTTTTGGAAAACAATTAGGATTAAACTGATTTGAGCCATTGGATTGGAAGCAATTAGTTAATGAATCAATGGTCAAGATTCATTCGGTTGGGATTGAAACAGTTGAAGGTTAGTTATGATTTAGCTTCCGTTAGGAACTGTGAGTTGAAATGAAGTGCAAGTTAGTTAAAAGTTCTGTTAGTCTAAAATCTGTTAGATTAAATGGCAATGGTTAGTTATTCATCTATTAATTTTCAGTTAGAAATCTGTTACATGATGAGCTGTTAATTGGTGTTCTGTTTTGATAAGCTCACAAATTGGTTCCATAGTTTTAATACAGGGCAGGAATTGAGTTTTAGTAGGGCGGTTCATGTGGGAAGTTTGGAAACAAAACTGGTTTTATGATGTGCAGGTCTGATATGTGGTTTGGATATGGTTGTATAAGTCTGATTAGGATAGCAACAAGGGTGATGTTGTGATACGAAACACGTGGTGTTTAACAGGCTGGTGCAGGTCAGGTTATAAGAGTTTGTTTGGACAACTTTGGGTGTTAGGGCAGCCATAGGTAATGAGGAACTTGAAGTTGGTGAGCCGGTCGGGAAATATTGAAATCGTGAAGACCTTTGGAACATGAACATGGTTACAACATGAATGGCATGAAGTGGATTTGGAGCAAAAGTCGAAACAAAGTGAAGGTTGAATCTTGATCATGAAGTTTAGATTTTGACAGATTATTCCATATATTTGTTTCTGTGTAAAGATTTTCTTTTTTTTTTTGCAATTTTGTGATTTGGTACATGGTTTTATACTGGAAATGCTTTGTAATATTATAGTGTAACATGGTGTATTGTAATTTTTTGTAATATGAATTTGAAAGTTCAATGATAGTTTCTTCAATGTAACTCTTATCCTCCAAATTGATTTTGAAGTCCCAAGCCCCTTTCCTCTAATATTTACTTTAAAGGCCTCTGTGTGAATTCAAACGGTCATGGTATGAATCAAAAAATTGGCAAGGGAATCAAAAGTGCCCTGAGTATTGAATGAATTCTTGAATGAATATTTGGATGATACTTTGATTAGGAGGAAAAGAGTGAATTTGATACGCGCCTTGTAATTTGAACTCCAAGAAATCCCTCCCAAATATTTAATAACTTTGATTCACTTCACAAATTCCAAATCACCTTGAACCCCTAACTTTGAATTCTCAAAATCCAAGCTATTGAAGTAATAAGAATTTGATAAATCTGTCCAGTCGCCTTTGTACCATAACTCAATTCAATCTATACAATACTTTGACTGGACAAAAGCAGTGCCTTAAACCAAATGATCTTTAGTTAATAAGATGCTAACCTTAATCCGCTTGTTTCTAGAAGTAACTTGAAAAGAGGGCTTAGTCTTTTGATGAAAACCTTGTGTCTTAATGAAAGATGAAGTCCCCAATGATTATGAACACAAACCCTTGATTCACAAACCCTGATTGATGAAAGAACCAATTGATTCAAGCTTGAGTGAAGATGAGAGCCTAAAAGCACACAGAAACACTAATTCCTCAAAGTCCCTGATCCCATGCTAAGCCTTGTGATTAATGGATGCATAATATTGTTAAATGACCTAATGGAAGGTATGCATATGAAATGAGAAATGCAAAATGCATAAGCCAGATAAAAGTGAAAGGGTATGACAAATTTGGGGTATGACATCGCTCTTCCCCGAAAGTCTCAGTCTGCTGGACTATAATTTTGACCTTAGAATCTGTAGCTATTTTCACCTAAAAAGTAGAGGACAAAAGTGAATTCGATGGTTAAATCAAATCCAATCTTCTACTGCTAGTCAAGTGAAAGAGCATACGAAGACACAAGAATAATGTCCTTGTCCAAAGCCCTTACTCAATCCTCGAGCGAGGACACCATAAAATCCTGCTCGGTCAATCTAAAGCTTCCCAGGAAAACAAATCCTAAAAACCCTAATGAGGGAAACCTCCCCGACATATTAACCCAGAACCCCATTTGAAAACTCGCCGTAAAACTCATATGTTCATCGGAAAACCCGTGAGTCCACCAGGGAACTCAAGGGACTAACCGACGACGAGCACATTGCCGCCCAAACCGAGGTGCTAGAATGCCCAGAGGAACACAAAGCCCTAGATAAAACTCAATCTCTCAACGATGATATGTGTCTGAAAACGGCCCAACCGCCGTCAAACACCAACAACCACCAGAGAAAACGCCCACACCTCCTAAGTTCAACCTATCAGCATGCAATCTAAACAAAAAAAAAGCTAAATATACAATGGAGTAAAGAGAAATAAAATATTTACGTGTTCGAGGAAACTGAAGGTGTGGTCAAATGATGACGTTACGGTGGATCACAACATCAATAGTGAAGACTGAAAATAGAGATAGTGAAGAAGAAATAGAAGCAAAAGTGCAAATGAACTATCCTCTTCCATATTTATAGAGAAACCTCAACACACGCGCACACGCACGCATGACCTAGGGAAGCACATGGGTTATCATTTACCCTAATCGCTAGACTGCCATCATTATGCCTTTGCTACAATGCGTGGCTCGATGCAAGCGTAACACGTAAACCAGTCGAAACCTAATAAGCTGTTTGGCTCCCAATGAGCGTAACACGTAAGGCAATGTTTATATTCCTCGTATGTATCTGTCCTCTAGAAATATTGGAATGTCCTCGTCTCCTAGGACAAGCGCCAACGGCATTATCGCCTCCTCGACACATGAGCCAACTTTAACTCATCACTCCCGCGCCTTGGAGTAACGACTTGGGGGGCTCTTGTTCTACACTAGACCAATAGCTACGCATGACTAAATCCACTTCTGCGTCTAGGGAGGCCCAATGACCTTGGCTCAATCAGAAGGAACAGATAAAGGACACCTTTTCCCTTATGCCCCTCGCTCGAGGAGCCCTTCTCAATTGACCCCCAAACTATACAAGGTCACTTATGCCCGCTCAAATAGGCTAGTTCTCATTCTGCCAAGATACATTGGGACAGTCACCCAGGAACGACCAGAAATCATGCTTGCCTGTGAAACACTTCTCTACTTGTTGTAATAGCTAGTTCCGAGCATCTGTGTCCGTTACAATGACTAGTTTTGGGAAGTTAACTATTTTTGAGGAACCTAATATCTAGGCCCAAAAATAGGAACCAATGGCCAAGCGCTGGGGGCACTATATAAACCCTCGCACATGTGAGGGCCAGGGATTCAATATTCTATATTCATCACTCACTCCTAAAACCCTATACTTTTCTATCTTGTATTTCTTTGAACTCTTTCTTACTTGAGCGTCAGAGTGCCTTGCAGGTACACTCGCTCCTCCTCATTATCAGCTTTGCAAAGTAAAGATATCAAGACTTTAAATAAATAAAGTATTTTTGGATTTTTTAATAATAAAATAAAATCAACAAGAAAAAACATAAAAGAAATGACAAAGAAAATAGAAAGAAATAAAAAAGAAAATGAAAAAAGAAAAAAGAAAAAACAAGTTAAATGGAACAAGTATTAAAAAGTAGGAATTATGGCCATGGGGTGTTGAACTCACGCCCTTGAGGTCAAAGCATAAAACCTTAGCCACTCAGAAGCGCGCTATGTTGAGTTAACAAACAATTCAAAATAAATATAATATAAACTAACATGAAAAAAAGGAATTAAAACAAAAGGTCTGGGGCGAGGGGGATTCAAACCCCATACGTTAGGGTTGCAATACAAATACTTAAAACTATCGTGTTAACCATTAGGGATCAATTCAATTCATTTTTAAACACACGTTCAGTTAAACATATAATAAAACAACATTAAAAATTTGAAAATCTGCCCCTGTCACTTCATCCATAACCCCACGACATCCATCAATGGTGGATTTGTGAATTTCTCATTTCTTTATCAAAAATGGCAAACTAATATATCAAATTGCTCAGAATCTCACAAGGAATTCAACCATGCCCATAACATTAATTGATTCTAACTATAACTCATGAATTTTTGCAAATACCCAAAAACCCTAATTATTTTCAAGTTAAATTAAATGGTATACGTGATCAACCAATTCCTATTTTAATTGGGCTTAAATTCATGGCATTCGAACAAACATAATAGTATCAAGAAATGTTTAAAATGATGCTTGTATGATAGAGTTCCAAGTCAGAAAATTTTACCTATTGGAGCAAGGTCCAATGCCTATTTCCAAGCTCTTTCAATGGTGAAAAATGATCCTCCTAGCTTGTCTGAACCTCAAGGAAGCTAATGCAATCTTTAGTTTACTTTGAAACTACCTCAGACCCTCAGACCAAATCAAGTTGTAGTGATGAAATCGTATGTGTTGTACCCCAAAACTTTCCCTCTCATTTTTTAAGACATTTCTCACAAGGATTCTCAAGGTTCGAGCTTGCACAAGTACATTGGATTTTCCAATACCAAGATTAAAAGGAATATGTCAAAAAAGGAGAAAACAAATAAAAATAATATTTTGACAAATTTGGAGAAAAAAATAAGTGTTCTTCGATTCAGCTCCTTCGATTGGCCTTTTGGCCTCTTTCGATGCAAGCTTGGCTTGCATCCTTCGACTGGGTGTGGGCTTCAGACACATTGGTTTGGATTCACAAGGCACAAAGCCTCCTGTAGTCTCCTTCGATTCCAAGGCAAAAGGCTCCCTTTTGGCATCCTTCAATTTTCACTTTTTGCCTCTGTGATACGGTGGGAGAACTGACTTGAGGTTTTGCGTTTTGTGTTCGCAAATGTTTCAGTTTAGCAAGAGTCGCCACCGACTTTTTATTTTATCCTAAGGAAAGGTCAAAAAGCACAGGAAAG